CCATGGAGCTGTGGGACCAGTGAATGCAGGTCTTCCTCCCTCTGTCTGCCACAGACAAGCCCAACAAGCAGTCAGAGCCACGGTGTCTCCTTCACTCTGTCCAGAACTTGCTCCTGGTTCATCCTTCAGCCCTTAGATTTGTTCTTCCTGGAAGCTCCTCAACTTGCCCTTCCTCCCACTCTGGGCTGAATGAGTGTCCCTAGCCAGGCCACTGTGTCCCTGAATTTGTCTCCATTATTGCCCTCACCACACACTACCAGCATCCCTGCTCCCTCATCACTTTAGACCTGCCCCTAGGTCTGAGCTGCCTGTCGTGGCGATGCAGCGTCGCTCAGACTTCAGGGAAGACATGGAAGACTTTAAGGCCTGCATCTTGCTCATCTGTACCCATTCTCCCTGTTGGCACATAGTAGGTGCTCACTAATGTCCACCTATGAAGGCCTGGCAGTACACAGTGTGTGACTTGGATAGGCAGGGCAGAGTGCTCAGAGAAGGCAAGAACCCCTGGGCTTGATGGGAGGCCTCCTGGAGGAGGCACTGGGGGTATCCTCCACTCCACAGGTCAGTCCTAAGCAGCAATTGGGAACAGACCAGCCCTAGAGCCATCAAAGCAAGCCACAGAACTGAGAACAGGGCTTATAGTGAGGGAGACTCAGGGCTTTCTGGGCCTATGGAAGCAGTCACTGGAAGGACTGGTCAGGCATCCAGGGAAGGCTTCCTGGAGGAGGGGCTACTTCTATGGAACAAGAAAGAAGGTTTAGATGGGTCAGGTTGAGAACATGATAAGGAACATGATATGGAAAAGCAAACTCTGTCTTCTTGTCCTTTACCCCTGGGAGGTCAAGGTCAGGGAGGTGGGTGGACAGGAAGAGCAAAGAAGGCTGAGGAGGAATGGAGATAACATCAGTGCGACACCCTGGCCAAGGCGGGTATGCATGACTGGGGCTGGCAGGGAGCAGCTCCCCAGTTGTGGCTGGGAAGCATTTCCTGTCTCTTTGCCAGGGGGGTCATTAATAATCATTTACCCGCCACAGGCAGCACAGAGGCCAGCCAGGGAACAGCATGGTGCTGAGGCCAGAGCCCAGTCTGGCAGCCAAAAGAGCTGGACAATGTACTGCCCTGCCACCTTGCTGTGTGACCTGGACCAGCAACCTGACCTCTAGTGGTCTCTGGCAACCCCGAGAGACCACTCGTAAGAGTGGTAAGAGGAGTATCTGATGAAGATGCTGGCTTAAGTCTCCTCCCTGCTCTGGGCCTCAGTTTCTCTAGGTGACAGCTGGACTACCAACCCTCCAGAACAGTCACGGGACATCTGATGGCTATGCCAAACCCAGCTCAGGGCACAGAGGATAGGGACAGGGAGACCCAGGTCCAACCTCTGCAGAGGCAGACCCCAACAGGATGCATACATGATGGATCCAGGTACAGTTCAGGCTGGGGGAAATGCAGAGGGAGGGGCCAGCTGCTCTGAGCTGCAGGGCTGACAGCATGACTCCACACAGAAGGAGGGACCACCAGGACACCAACTTGGTCTCCATAGATGCTCTTGGACCTTGCATGAGCTAACTAATTAAATGAGACATTCGTGAGAGGACCTCAGAAGCTGGAAAGAATGTTCAAGGAGGAGGAGGAGGAGGAAGGCAACAGTGATGACAATGATTCTGGCCAAAGACAGTGGGATGAGAAAAGGTGGCATGACAGCTTGAAAAGGCTGAAGGCCAGGGATGGTTGCCCCAAGCCAGCCAGTACTGATGGCTCCAAGGTCCCTTTTCCAGTCAGTTCAGAACCTTCCTCCAGGCCTTATTTCTCTACCCACCCTATATCCCCTCCAAGACCTAGCTCAGGCTCACTCTGTTTCCACAACCTTCTAGAAGGTGCTGCTGAAGTATGGGCCCAGCCACTCTGCTAACCGACTCTGACTGTCTCTGTGCCTCCACCCTCAAGGAGTCCTGGACTTTTATGATCTTAAATAATTGTCGGGAGATTGCCCAGGAGGGTTTTTCCCAGAGCTGTCTCTGGAGGGTATGATCTGGGTCCTTTACTGCCTGGGATCTTCCCCATGACACTACAGGGTCTCCAAGAACGTGACCAGGTCTCCCCTTGCCGGTAAGGGTCTTTGTGAGGATAAGGGACTATTTCTCTACCATTAGATGTGGGGTCAAGAAAAGGAGACCTAGACTGAAATCTTCCTGGTTGTCCCCCAGCCCAGGGATACAGAGAAAGGAAGAGGAGAGGGGAGAAGAGGTAAGGGGGGGCTTGGCTGTTCAGAATCCCTGAAGCAGTGGTTTGAGCCAGAAAGGGCACTAGGCCACCGCAGGACTAAAAGCATGTGGTTGACAGACTTAACTCCAAGCCCAGCCCAGGCTGCTCTAGCACTGAATGGTGCCTTCAGAGACACCACCTGGCCTCGAGCCTGTGCCCAGACTCTCCCTACTATAGGGAGGTAGTAGTAAACACAGTGACCTTGCTGACACGTGCATCCTCCCCACCCCCCTTCCAAACCCTGGTCCCAAACGGGACAAGCTAAGAGGAAAAGAACAAAGGTTCCCGGACTGCGACATCGCCTGCCGCCTGCCGCCTGCCTGTCCAGCGCCTGCTCAGCCGGAAACCCAAGACAAAGGCTTTGGTCAAAGTGAAGAGGATGAAGGGCAAAGGGTAGGGGCAGCCTGGGTGGGGGGCAGGCAAAGGCATCTGTAGAAACCTAACTGGGAGTTCAGCAAGGACAGGATGGCGGCCAAACTCTCCCTGCACAAACACGTCACTCTACAAACATTTATGGAGCACCTGCTGTATTCTGCACACATGCAAACAAATACACCTCATTCCTCACACCACATAAACCTTATGCACACTCCCTTACCCCTTGCAGTACATTCTACAGCTCCACCCTGCATGCACCCCTAGCTCACTAAACACACCTCACATACTCTTCATCACACACAGACAGCTCAGAGAAAGAAAAGAGCACAGAATCCACACCTCACACTGAAAAGTCACACAGCTCACACACCCACTCTGCACACCACACTCACACTCAGTCTCCCACCCTGCACCTCACACACCTCACACTCACCTCCCTAACCACAGACACATGCACTCAGTTAAATTCAACACACATACCACCCAGTCATAGAGATACATGCAGACACACCCTGCATAAATAATATGCACACCTAATGTCACATGTTTGTGGGCATATAAAGCCCAGACAACCCTGCCGGCACATTGCTTCTCCTACTCACCCCCAACACCTGATCAGCTGGACCCTTCCAGAGTCATACAGACAGTCACCACAACAACACACAGAGCCCCATGCAAACCCAGGATGTTCCACAGTGCCTGGAAGCCATTGTAGGCTACAAAAACACTCAGACACACACAAACCCCCAACTCCTCTTGACAGACACCCAATTAAACCCATCGGTCCCCATCAGGGCTCTTCCTGGCCACACACAGCAACCAAAAACATACACAACCACACATCCGAGCCTCCTCGTGCAGCTGCCCCTGTAACAACTCCATCCTGCAATAACACACACAAGCACATACACACACAACAGTCACACACCCACAACACTGCCTCCCTAGCCACACACAGCATGCTAACAACACAGACTCACAATCTCCATACCCACCATAATCCCTCTAATAATTATCCCACTCATGGTGACATGATATGTGGTCCATGTACATGATTACACACAAGGTGCATCCAACACATGCAACACAGCTCATGATACACACTTTCAGAAATATTCACACAAACACATAGGATGTATGTCCCAGCCCTGGACAGCTCCCACCACAGGTGACCGACATCCCCCATCCCACCTCAGCTGCCTCAGTCAGGACCGTCACAGCAGAGATGAGGGAGTATAAGTTAAAAATGCCAGTGCCCCAACCATGTGATCCTCACCCACCTCAGATCCTAGGTACCACCCCAGGGCAGCACACTCCATGTCTAGGCCCTTGGACCTGAGCCCATGCCATGCCATGCCATGCTTGAGAACATGGAGGGGGTAGAGGCCCTGGGAATACCAGTCTTGTCCTCTGAGTCTGTCCCCTCCTCATCCCAAAGCAGAAGCAGATATAAAGGGGAAGGGATGACCAGAGAGAGACCCTAAAATAAAGATAGAGATCTAGAGAAATTGGAGAGAGGAATAGACTGAGAGTGGTGGGCAACACAGGGCAGAGCCAAACCAAAACGAGAAGGAGAGAGAGAGAGAGAAAGAGAGTGAGAGAGAGAGAGAGAGAGAGACCAACAGTTGGAGAGAAACCCAAGGAGAAATGTGGAGAATGAAGTGGGGCTGCCACACCCAGAAAGAAACAGAGGAGGGGAGACCAGGAAGAAGAGACTGGGGAAGAGGCCAGTGAGAGTCCTGCATAGGAGGAAGAGGCCTGGGTGGGAAAAGGAGTTTGGACCCTTGGGTAGGGTGGGAGCTAAGGACTGAAGTCTAAATGACTGAGTGGGAACCTGGGTGGGGGCATAGTTGAGGCTGTGGAATGCAGGTTCTGGGTCTTGAGGTGAGGTCCAAACTCTGAGGTGGGGTTCAGGAGGTCGGGGGTGGGGTGTGCCTGGAGTCTGATATGTATAGTGTAGGATCAGAGGTTTGGGCTGGGATTACTCCCATTGATCTGCGAGGAGGGAGTTGGGGGGCTGGAACAGAGCTCTCAGTGGGAACTGGGGTCCCCCTCCTGTGGATTAGTTCAGTGCTGGGGGATAGACCTCGAGATGCAAACGGGATTCAGAGTCTAGGGTGGCATTTGGGTGGTGAGCTGAAGGTTCAAGGGCTCCCTCTGGGTCTGGGCTGCAGTCCCAGCACAAGAGTGGGGTTCGGAACTGGGGGAGAGGTCCCCTCTCTCAGTAGGGTTCAAGGGGTCCAGGGGAGGGTGGACCGTACAGCCGACGACTGTATGCTCCGCAGAGGACTTGGCCCTGGCTGGACGATCCCTGGACACCCCGTTCTCCCGGTGCCCAGAATGAGGGGGGCCCCCCCTACCTGCAGGCTGTCGGCGCATGGCTGCGGCGGTGGCGGCGGTGGCGGTGGCTCGTCGGGCTTGAGGAAGACCTGCTGGCCCCGCCTGAGGAATTGGACAACAGCGATGAGGATGTGGTGCAGCACCAAGACCATGCTCGCAGCCGCCCGCCCGCCTGCCCCGCCGGCCCGGCCGCTGCGCTCGGTCAGCGCGTCCGCGACAGCTTCGCCGGGTCCGCGGGAGTGTCCGCCCCAGCCCCGCCCCGGCCCGCCCCCTGCCCGCCCCCGTCCGCCCCAGCCCCGCCCACTTCCCCGCCGCAGGGGACAGCACCGCTCAGCTGTCGGATCTTCCGACCCACAAGACCCCCGCCGGCTCTCCCCTCCCTTGCTGGCTTCTCCCCTCCCTAGACTCTTCCAGCCTGTCCACTCTCAGGATCCCCACTTGGAGCCGGCCGCAGCCTTCGCTGCCCTCCCCTTGTCCCATACTACTCCTCTCGCTGTCTCGCAGGGGTCGCTCCCCAGACCCCCGCACCCGGGCTGACCACATCTTCAACCCACCGCTTCAAGACCTGGGTCCTGGCCAGAGCCCCCGAGGCCGAGACCAGCTCAGTGTGGGGAGGTGGGGGTGGGGGGGGCATGTAAAGAAGGGAACTGGAGAAAGGGACCTCGGACACTATACAGGAGCCCTGGGCGTGCTCCCCTCCCTGGAGAGTCAGGGAGAATTTTAGAGGTCGCTTCAAGACGACAAGCCCCGGGGCTGTAGCAAATGTGCGAGGCAGACACGTGCGCACAGACACACCGGTGCAGTATTCCTAAGTGTGAGATGGGGACACTGAGCCCCCAGGACAGGCAGGCAGGCAGGCATCAGCATCTCGGGAGGCTGCAGAGGGGGCAAGCCCCAGGGCCGAGCAGTCCGCAGTTCCGCGGTGCGACCCGCGCGCTGGGAGCGCATTTCTCTGCAGAGCGGCCTGTGTGTTCTGGCATCTGCGGCAGCTGCGACCCTCCTGCGCCCCCTGGTGTCCCATCGCCACGACGCAGCCGAGCCCCTGTTGCAGTGGGCTGGTGGAATGGAGTGGGGATTGGTAGGGTATGGATCAATCAGCTCTCTATCTAGACCCCCGGATTCCTAACCATCCCTTGCCATGAGAGCGGTGGCGGTGTGGGATGTGTCTGGACTGCAGCATGAGCTTGGATCTAGCCTAGCTTTTGCCAGCGACTTACTGAGTGACCTTAGTCAGATCCCTTCCCGACTTTTCTGGGCCTCAGTTTTCCCAGCTTCTTCCCAGGACTGCCAGGAAGTTCAAACCCAGAATAAAGGGAAGGCAAACAGAGTCCCCTGTCAGCCCTACCTAGGTGAGATCTGACCTGAACCTTGCCCTTTGTATTGCCTGCCCCACTCTCTGCAACTTCCACCTCCCCAACCCTTGAGGGTGACTTAATGAGCCCCCAGACTCCCCGCCTAACTGGGGTGATTCATCTGGGCCCTTTTCCCCTGGGGAGCAATTTCCTCAATGTTGAGTCACTGAGCCCAGTCCTGGACACAGTCCAGGAACCTGGCATAGATTTAGCAGAGTTCTGACTATCCCACTAGCTCAGGGGGTGACCTTCCACACCAGGATTCTCCAGCTTTTCTTTCTGAGGCACATGCTTCTTAACACCTTCAGTGGCTCCCTTCTGCCAATACAATAAAGCCCAAACTCGAGTTTAGCCTGACATGCTAGACCTTCTACAACTCAAATCTGTCAATCCAGCTCTGACCCCCACACACACCACCACCACCATTCCCTACATTTATACTTCTCTACTTAGATCAGTGACTGCCTCATTTTTACCTCCAAGCCTTTGCCGGTGCTACCCAACCCTTAATGCCCTCTGGCATTTTTCAGCCTGCTTATCATTCAGGGACCAACTGGAGTCCACCTCTCCCAGGAGATCTTCCTTGAATACTACCTCTGTCATCAGGGTAGCCCTTTGGTGCCCTTCCTGGGAGTCAGCACTGGGAAGTTGGGGAGAGGTAGAGGATCTGGGCCACTGCATCTTCAAAATAGGGCAGTTTATTCTATTTATTAACATTGTAGAGAACATTCCACAGGCTAAGATATGTAAAGGTCCTGCCTACCCCCCCCCCAAAAAAAGAGCCCTCCATTCCGTTTTTTTGGCTTCAGTTTTCTCCTGTGAAAAAACATATGGTCAATGCAAGGGCTACTGTAAGGACTGTCTGAGCCCAGGTGTACAAACCTCTTGGTAAGTCCTGAGCATGTGTCACCGCCTCAGTCCTGGGCTTTGGGTAGCCTGTGTGGGACACAGGTGCCCAGGGAGTATCTGATAGTCATTGGCCAGAGCCTTTTGTTCTTTAGGGAAGACCATCTCAGCTAGACCAGCCGCCCCAGCCTGGCACAGCCACCATCTCTTGGGCTCCTAACTCTAGGCAGGGCCTCCATAGCACTCACCTCTTGAGAAGTTATTTCTTAAATCTTACTTGGAGTCCTATGTGCGTGTTCTGTCTCCCTCAACAGAGATTCTTTCTGGGTCAATTTTTCAGATTCAAGCATTCCTCAGAGGGTTTGAGTCCTAACTGTATCATAGACTTGCTATGTGATTCTGAGCAGACAATGTATCTCTCTGGGCCTCAATTTCCCCACTTGTAAAAGGTTAGCACTCTAGAGTCAATAAATAAGCAAATGTATTTATTTTAGTGTTTAGTAGGAGACAGAGCCAGTTCATAAACATCTTCTCTTGAAATTCCCCCAAGCAGCCCCTTCCCAGTAGGGGCAAGCAAGGCTCCTCCAGGGTGAAGGGCCTTGCCAAGTTTTCACAGGTAGAAAGGGGCCCTATCCAAGGCTAGGACTCCTCCAATCCTGACAGATCCTACCCGAACTCCACCGCTACATTCTGTGGTCCTGTGCTGCTCTCTCACCCTGGCTCATGTTGGAATCACCTGGAAGCATCTAAAAATGCTAATGCCTGGAATTCCCATCACAGATAGCTTTTTAATGTTCCCAGGTAATTCTAATTTACTGCCTAGTATGAGAGCCCTGGCAAGATGCCTCTCATTCCTGGCTGACCTCCATCCCACAGAGGCAAGGGTCAGGTCTGGCCGCTGATGGTCAAGTGTATCCATATGGGGCTGGGATGCTTTAACATTTATTGAGCACTTATTATATGTCACATATTTTTTTTTTCAGCAATGATAGGATCTATAATTAGTCACATTTTGTACATGAGGAATACTGATGCACAGAGAGACTAAGTAACTTACCCATAGTCACACAGCTAGTAAACAGTGGAACCAAAATTCTGACCCCAGCCGTCTGGCTACTATCTGTGCCTTAAATTCATGTCCTGCTGCTTGATGAAAGGCAGGTAAGAAAAGTGGACTTTCTCAGCTATTTTGTCCCTAATAACACAATTGTTGAGGGTCCTATGCCCACCATTCCTACACCCTCTGCCTACCTCTGACACCAGGAAGTCCAACCCCAGTTGTCCTTCCCAGGTCCAGCTCAGGAATGCCAAACCCAGCTCCTCTGGTCACCTCTTTCTGTCTTCCTACCTTAGGGGCACTTGGCCCTTATAGTGGCCCCTGCCCCAGCCTGGGTATTTCAGGAAAGGGTGGCTCAGCTGAGAACTTACCAGCCTCAAGACTGGACCCACCTGACCTCAGGTCCCTCCAAGGACTGGCCCTGCCTTTTTCTAACAATAATGACACACTGCTTACCAAGCACTTCCTGGGAGTCCCTGATTCAGCCTTGTGTTATAAGAAAATGATGCTCTGTCAGGCACTGGAGGCTCACACCTATAATCCTAGTACTTGGGAGGCTGAGATTGGGAGGACTGTAGTTCAAGGCAAATAGTTCACAAGACCCTATCTCCAAAATAACCAGAACAAAATGGACTGGAGGTGCTCAAGCAGTAGAGCACCTGCTTTGCAAGCATAAAACCAAGTGGGGGTAGGGAGGGAGGGGAGGAGAAGGGAGGGGGAGAGAGGGAGGGAAGAAGCAGGGAGGGAGGGGGAAAGAGAGGGGAAGGGGGAGGAAGGGAGGGAGGAGAGGGGAAGGGAGAGAAAGAAAAAGAAGGAAGGAAGGAAGGAAGGAAGGGAGAGAGGAAAGAGAGAGAGAAGGAAAGAAAGAAAGAAAGAAAGGAAAGAAAGAAGAAAGAAAGAAAAAGAAAGAAAGAAAGAAAGAAAGAAAGAAAGAAAGAAAAGAAAGAAAAGAAAGAAAGAAAGAAAGAAAGAAAGAAAAAAGAAAGAAAGAAAGAAAAAAAGTCTCTGAGAGGGACAGATGTTGCAGACCACCTGCTGATCAAGTCCAGAACGTGGACCCAGGTTGTTCTCTCCTCTATGGACACTGCCTTCTCCCTTCCTCACATATCCCCAGTCCATGAAGCCAGGGACCATCTGATCCTTCCCCATGTCCCCACGGGCCAGCCCAGGCTGTGGTGCCTAGGGGAGGCTAAGTCAAACAATGGTTTCCATTTTGACATCTCCTATGATTGGTGCTGGCAGACCCTCAATAGAGCCCACATCTGCTCCCCTCCCCTGTGACCATGTGTTGTGTCCTGCTTCTGTCAGCCTGTCTTGTGCTTCACCTACATCTATCCAGCAGAAGACCAGGTTCAACCACTTCCACGGGTGATTTAAGGCAAGGCTCTGACCCTGTCCAGCCTCAAACTTCTCAAAAGCAACGAGGTTGACCCAGTTCTCTTGAGGGCTCAGGCAGCCCAGGTAGAGGGAGGCAGGACTCAGGCAGGCTCACCTGGGAAGAAGGCAGTCCTCCTGTACAGGCGGCCTGCCCAGGCATGCCAGATCACAGACTGAGAGCCAGAACCAGATTCCACCATGGGAGGCTCCTCAGGAGAGAGAATGTCTTGGTCTGTCTGTGGCCTAGGGTGGAGGCCATGGACTAAAAGATATCCCAGCATCATCTTTAAGGGTTCTGTATGGGAACAGTCCTAGGAGCTCCTCCCTCTGGACACTGTGCTCCACACTTCAGGCCTGGAGTGGATGTGGGCAGAGCACACTACCTGAAGGCAATGAGCGTGTGTGTGTGTGTATGTGTGTGTGTGTGTGTGTGTGTGTACACACAGGTATGTGTATACTGCCTTACGCAGTTGTGTGTATGCACAAGTGTCCAGGTGTGGTTTGTGTATGCATTTATGTGTAAATGTTTGTGCAAGTATATTTGTTCAAGTTCA